GATTATAGTAAAATTAGCAAATTAAAATAGCTATTTTAATTTGCTAATTTTACTATAATCTTTGACTATTAATACAACTTCAATCCACTTCCTTAGTACAGTATCCAATTGTCAATGCTATAATGTAAAAATACAGTAATCATTTAACCACAAAGCTATTGCTAAAATGTATAATACCATTTAGTTGATGGCAAATAAAAGAAAATACAATAATTGAAATTTTTATAACTACAGCTATTTATGTGTAAATATAATGAACAGTTTTACCTGGTGGTATACAAGCGACGTATATCTTACTTACAAATGTTTCCTGCACCATGAAAAGGAAGGTCAAGCTGAATGCACCAGAAATACCAAAAGCCACAAATTGCAAAGTCACTTAGTCCAGCTCCATTGAGTACTTGGTGTCAAGTACTCGTGCTTAACCAAGAGATGAAAAGCTTCTCAGACATCATTCCTGTTAACACATCCTGTCCACTATACACAGTTTTGCTTCTTCATTAGTCAAAAGATAATGAATCTTGCTAAGAACCAGGATTGGAGTCATACTTTTGGAATCATTTTTAATGCTGTAAAAAGGTTAACATTTACTTCTATTCTAACCTACTTTTCTAACTATTTATACAAGGAGTTTTCCTTTATCGAAATTCCATTTCAATTAATGTCTTTCTAGAATCCCTGTAATTTTTGGACAAAAATACATTCAAATTAGAATTAAAACATGCTAGTGATAGAGTGCATAATTTCTAACAGATAATAGGCACATTATCTAACAGATAATCTAAAAGGTAATATTTTTACCTACGACCGTTTTTTAAAGTAGCCATTTCAGTCCAGTTCTTAGAATTGAAAAGTTTCACTTTACAGCTGTTTACTTTCATATCCGCATAGTTTCATTTCATATCCGCATAGTTTTCTCATATCCACACAGGTAACGGACCAATGAGGTTCAAGTATTGAGAGAAAAGAATTAAAATTGTAATGCTTCGAACGTCAACTAATCAGCTGATCAGCTGATCAGTTGACCAATTTAATTGTTGATCCGACTTGTTCATGTTGATACTCGCGTATTCTTAATTAAGTTGGTGGAAGTCCAAAAATAAATGAAATATTTGCCGAATTGTACCTGATACAATATTATTTATGGTAAGAATGCTGCTAGCAATGTAATATTTAACGAAGTTTAACAAACACGTAATTACAGGAAATCAGCTGATTATACAACAAGTCGTTGCATCACTTTCAGTGGCAATGACAATACACGAAAACATAACCTCTCTAAAAAGTTATCATTAGTGATTGTTAGTAATTAAATCCAGATTGATAGTAATTAAAAAAAAAACGGTCGTAGGTAAAGTAGTGTACGCAACTCGCGTTAATAGTCTTTACGACACTCGTAGAAGTTTTTAAGGCACGCACTCGCCAAGGCTCGTGCCTTAAATTTTCTACTCGTGTCGTAAAGACTCAATTAACGCAATCGTTGCGTAAACTACTATTTTACCATCCGAATAAAAAAAATTATATTGTGTTTTAGAGTTACAACATCTCATCGAAGCTAATACTCAAAAATATAATTAGTATGCACCTCAATAAGGAAACCTTAGTACTAAATATATTTTGCAGACCGTATCAGAGTATATTTCTCTCCTTACCAAGAAAGTTCAAGTTATTAATAATGTATTACAAAAGTTGGAGTATCACAACAGTGAAAAAGTCATTCATAGGTACGATTACAAAAGACAATAATTGTCAAAGTTGCGAGTGATTCTGTCTGAATGCACAACTTCCAGCATACAAATCGACTGAAACATGCCATTTCGATTCAATTTTAATATTTTCCTTGTGATACTTAGAATATTATTCAGACATCCTTTGTTCATCCATTTACGAGAAGACTTTTGTCCAGTAAAAACTTATCTCGTGACAGGTAGTTAGTTTTATTTTTACCATAATATTGCAGAAAGGGTTTTGACAGCCAACATAGTCTTAAAATGACACAATATGTGAATTCTTGATTGTGAAATAAACAAGCGTCAAAGTAACTGTTAGAGATTTACAAATAAAAGTGTTGTCTGCCCTCAGCAATATGGGCGCATAAAGCCTAACACTTCAAACCGATATCCAACACTTTATCTCATATGTAAAATGTATAAATAACTTCCTTTAAATAATTTTTTAATCCAAATATCATACTCATTAAACCAGCTATACTGTTATTTCAATCGTTGTCAAATAAGGAAACTCCAGACTTTATAGTAAAGTATTTTGTTATCAGTCATATTAGTCATCGTGTCCTGATGTAAGAAACAAGCTTCAGATACATGATGGGAGGAGAGGCCACCCTTAGAGGAAGTTTGGGACAAGGGCCTTTCATCAACTTGATCAATAAATCTTTCATCAATGATAACTTCCAAGGTGTGTGTAAGGAAACTGGAATCACTTACTTGGAAATAGTTTTCACGTGTATTACAAATTAGATTTTTGTACACGTGCTTCCCATCCAGCCCTATTTTGATGAGTTATTGAAAGTACCTTTGAATTCAGACTTATGTTATGAGAGATTATAATTTACCCTTAATAAGAACATATACCGCCTTAAGGAATGCATACACAAATTGGTGGGAAACGCTCACCCTCAAATCTAAAAAGACTGTTCTGTTTCGATCTTAGATTGGTCCTGGACCCAAACACCTTTCGTCGTTGGGCTTGCAGTCATGCTATCCAACAAAAGGGTTATTTTAGATGTTAACAAAGATCCTTACCTATCCTGTCCTTACCTAGGACCCTTAAAACGTAAAAAGCCCATCACATAAAAAGAAAACACAAATAAATATGACTATATGTATCCAACTAAAACTGTGCTTAGGATTTCACTGGTAGGCTTATGTAATAAAATAATCTTTAGCTAACAAGGAGTTCTTTTTTACATGATCAGTAGGCTATGTTTTAGAGAAAAGGTACTTTACATGGGCATACTCATACTGGATCAACATCACCAAGTTTATTTTTAGTTTAAAAACTGACTATAACCTCATAATGTTACTGCAGTTTTTGGTGTATGCATAGTTAAAGGTATGACGCATTCTTTAGTAGTCAATTCATCCAGAGCTTAATGTCCAATTCAAAGTGATAGAATAAAATGTTTTATTGGAGAACCAGGAGCCATGTTGGATGTGTACACTGTACAGATCTGTATCACTACACGACGAGGTAGGCAGATCCACCGGATCTAACTGTCCCTGTATGTCAACTGATGTACAGTTTGACGTTTTTTGAACATCGGCTGTTTTGACATTGGTCACAATAATCACGAGGCAATTTTTATTATAGACTGTGTAGCTAGTATAGTATGTATCATAGTGTGTTAGTGTAAATTGTGTATTGTGATACAACTAACCTATTTGTAATTTAAGTTATACACGTTTTATAGCATTCCTAAGCGATTCGTTATAAAAAGAATATGCTCATCCTCACAATGAAGGAAGTAATATTTTCACTGAGAAATTCAAGAATTTGTAAAAAATTAAAATCTTCACACATTAATAAACCATATATTTTCAAAGAATGCTTGTAGGTAATTTTGTTTGGTTGTTAAATAACTGTGCAGATTTTCAAGATAGCTCTTTCTTACTAAAACGAAGTGTCTTTTTCACTTGGAGATAATACATGTAAAAGCAATATAGGAAAATCCCTTTTGGTGGAGTATTGATCACACAAGATTTAAATTTCATAACACATCTTACTACACCATTCAATGCAACAATACAATAGGCCACCAAACGTCTTATAGCCCCAAACTGATCCGCTTATGCATTCAATGTGTGCTAGACTGTACTACAGTTTATTATTTTACTAATGCACCAGTGCACAATTATTCTGCTTTTGAATAGAAGATTTGTGCTTTAATATAGATGCGCTTACTTACTTACTTACTAACTTGTGTTATGAACCTTATTGTGTACTATAACTAAGTTTAAGTACTTTTTAATAATAACAATGACACTTTGTAATCGTATGATTGTGTCTTCTAATTCAGATTGAGCTGTTTTCAGAAATGATGCGAGTTCTAAAGTCAATTTCGAGATGGAAAATGTGCTTTTTAACACCAAATTTGTGCTGTTGTCCAAATTCATTCGTTAAGAAGTTTCGTAGTCTAGTGGTTAACGTATTGATTGGGTATGAGAGGAATAAATTCGGTCAATATATACCCACATTTGAGAAGTTTGGATTAGTTTCCCTGGAATGGGTATGTGATTCTTACATACAAAATGGACTTTCTTACATTCTTGACTGCAACCATGAGTAAATTTTAAGTTAAAATACAAATCGGAAGTATGTTGTAGGAGTAATTTACATACCTGTGCTTTTCACACTCCAATTGTACAAATTACTTCTTGGCATTATTATCTAAACATAGTTGGCCTTAAACTTGTCATTGTTTTTAACGCAGACTATTGCTGTTCGGAGTGTTACAATATCAACAGTTAATCATACCACTACAACCTAAACGTGATCTGGTCTAGAGGAACGGGGCATTGATCCCAGAGAGCACGGGTTCAAATCTTCGCAATCACCAATGAACCTAGCTGCAATGTCAAAAACTCGTCGCTAACAGTTCAATGTGTAATGTCAGTAATGTGCCAAAAATTACCTAAACCACCGTAGTCCATCAAACACACCAACTATGTGAACTCATTCAGTTATGTTATACTTAGACGAAACAATGTCTACAAAATGTGATGTCTACCTTAGTTCCCAAAAGTCAATAGTTATAAGCACTTTTGGCCATTTGTTCGTTTTTAAGCTTCAGTTTCATCTCCCTTACTGGACTAATTGTCGAAACTTGTAATCCACTGACCGTGGTGTCACTTTACCGTTGTCCTTACACCTACTACATATGTGTATGTGTGTGTGGGCGTGTGGGAGATGTCTAGGGAGCCATCTCCCCTCCTGCAATGCGACGGTGCGCGCGCAGCTTCTCCCAGCTCAGTGTTGTGCGAGACTCTCCCTAGAGTGCGCGCTCCTCCGTCGTCCTTCGTCCTGCTGCCAGGATACGTCTCTTCCGAGTCTCTCTCCCTTTCTTCGGTGAGCTTTCATAGACAAAATTTCAAATTTATACAATGATGTAACTTTTTTCTTCACTGTTTTGTAATAAATAATCGTATTTTTGTAATTTTAAATAGAAATATTTTCCTCTTTTGTGAGCATTGTATGAAAAATTAGAGTTATTTGATAATTTTCATAATTTCGTTGTAAATAATGTTCGTATTTATTACATGCAATTTTGTTACATTAATTAATCTCCCCTTCATTTCGTGAGCATTCTTTGCAAAACTTAATAATAATTCAATAGTTTTATGATTTTATTAATATTTTAATTATTTATTTTTATCATTCAATAATTGGATGCATTTTAAGCATAGAATAAATTCTTCATCATTTTTCGGTGAACTTTCTTTGTCAATAAATCCTTATTATAAAAATAATTATTGGAAAATTCAATTAAGATTTGATAATGTATTTAAAAGCTCGAAGATCACATATGAGAAATTAAGTGTTTAACAGCATGCTTTCAAGTTATTGTTTATATATTTTCAGTTTGTATTTCAACACAATGACATTTTTTAATTGTCCATACCGTGGTCTTCTTAATAAAACTATATATTTTGTTATAAATCTTTTCAGCGATAAATTGCATTAGGGTTCACAATTTATATTATTAGTGGATGAACCAGCAACGTTTATATTTAAAAGGCGTGTAACATCACTTGGCTACCCTTAAACACGATCGAATAATTATTTATTTAAAAATCCTATAGCTCAGTTACAATTAGGAAAGGGGTAAAAAATACTTTAGGTTTTTCGATACCTAACTTCAATCCTGGTGTACAATTTCACAATGACTCCTGGTAATTGAAAATACTTTTGAGTTAGACGCGTTCGAGAAGTTTCACTTCAATCTCGTACTTCATTTAGTTTATATTTTTATTTTAAAGAGTATTAAAAATAATAGCAATAACTTTTATCAATAGTTTAGGTAACATAAATGTTAAATTTTTACATACAATTTATATGGGCAAAAATATTTAATACAACTCTATTTAAAACAAAACTTAATTCTTCAGCATAACAAATACAGATTATTTGTATGATAACAATATTATACGTACACAAAAATGTATACAGTATTATTGTTCGTAATATTCATAGCTAACTTGATCTACTTCGTATTTAAATTGCATTTTAAAGATGTTTTTCACAATATTTTACCCATATCAAATGTCTTAACTTAAACTCTTTCGAAATACAAATACATTTACTACTTTATAAATTATAATGTAATATTACATAGTACATAATGTAAATATTAAATACTTTTTATTTGCCTTGTGTATTTCAAAAATGAATTAATTGTCTAAAACCAGTGAATTACTGAGGCATTCCAAGTAAACCAATTACATATGGGGTTTTTAATTAGCACACAACTATTATCGTATGCTAAATACCAATAAAAACAAAACAGATAGAATCTTAATATCCTTAAAAGTAGTAGCGAAAACTCATTGTCACAAGCCATTTTGAAACTAATATGATTTTGTTTATATCATATTTATCTGCTGTCATTGGTGAGCGTTTAAGATGAACAACAGGTTTCAATGACCAGAGGGGAGAAAATTTCTGGGCGAGTAGCACTTAAACTTAAGCATAGTTTCACATTGCAGAGTTGTTATTATTTCAGCGATCAAATGTTTATGGTTTGTAATAAAAATATTTTCCTAAATTATAAAATGTCTGTTTCTGATATTGTTTTAACGATTAAACCCAATTAACCACAACCGAGGAAGGCTTGGTCCCCCGCCCCCCGGTACTCAATTATTATTTGTTTACTTAAAACCCCTTATATACATAAAACGCGCTAACTTATATGTGAAATTATTTTTAGTAAACCTTAATTGTATTTTGGCAGAACTTTGTGTTGATATAAATTTCAATTCGATTAATTTCTTCCTTATTAGTTTGCAGCGTCGTGCAGAGTTTAAGTTTGTACCACACTCAGTTAAAACTTATAATCTGTGTAGCGTTGATAACTCCTCCAGATTCTGCCTTATCTCACGTTTCAGAAACTATGTTGCAAGCAAAGTGTCTAAGTTTAGTTTGGAAGATAATTCTATTAATCGAAGAACCGGTTGTTCATACATTTTAGTCATTGAAGTTTCTTATTATGAGTTTCTTTTATTTGTCAAGAGTAGTATAGTTTAACCTACTATAAGTTTTATGTTTTATTCTACTAAAAACATTTTGAACGATCTGCAAGAAACTTAAATACATAGAAACAAGACGTACATAATATTATAAACCCTACTTTACATCGATCATTATTTTAAAAGTCTTGTTGATATTGAGCTTGATTGTGGTAGAAGGGTTTAAAATGACACAACTATCATTATTTTTGCAAAATATCTAAAACTGTAAACTTTTCGCTTAGTATTACAAAAAAGTGGCTATAACATGGTTTCAAAAATTATCAAAATAACAATCATCTTCTTTTTCCATTAAGAATATGTAACTATAGACCTATAGTATGATTTATGGCTTTGCTCAGTACTTAGTGTAGATTCATAATCGGACAAACCTCTTTCTTTACTTGCTTGTATAACCAGTTATCATTTCTGAAACCTTATGGGTTAATTGGTTACAAGCATGATAACAAAACAATCACTGAACAAAGGGAAGCTGTTATGTAGTCGTAGTCAATAAAATGATACAATCTAACACAATAGCAATGCTACTTGAATTGCACTCATTCAATTATTTCAGTAACTGAAAAATTAAAATATGTCATGGACTCAATGATATTGCCTCAAGCCACTTGTTTTAACCTACATCACAATTTACCCAGTTATCTGAATATATTTAAAAACACTTTTGCAAAACTTATGACAGCTAGCTTGGCCATACTACTGGTCCGAAATACGCGCGGTTGGTACCATATGAAAGATATTTTCCTTTAGATGTGCAGAATCACCTTATGAATTAAAATAGGCTGAAAATAAGCACAAAAAATGAATTTGATGGGCCTCATGGGTTGCCTTGCTAGTGAAAAATAATAACAAAATAAACAGAAAATCTAAAAAAATCCTATCACGTGTTTTATTTACAGTGTGGGGTGAAAATAGAGAAGTCTGTACATTACATATTATTGGTCGAGTTTTTGAGCACTGGACGGCTTCTAGTAATAATTATTCTATCTCCATTCCGTATATTAATGCAGTAAAGTTATTTTAATTCGTTCTTAATAGGTATTTAATTAGCAAATAACTAATTAAGTCTGACGTAAACACTAAATTAAGCTGTTAAACCACCTAGAACTACGACAATGCAAAAACTTGAGAGACTTGAGACTATAAAAAGAGTGAATTATAAAATAATTAACTTTGAAAAATAATTTAATTTTTTTTTAATTTCATTGTTTTGTTGCTTACGAATCAAACTGATTGATTTACCAAGTGTTTTTTAAGTGTAATTTTGATAAAAGGGGAATCGTTGAGTGAAAGAACATTGTTTGGAATATGGAAATCATGAAACGAAAGATTGCATGCAACCTAAAAAAATGTATCCAAGAAAACCATAAAATTAAGATTTCATAATTATGTTAGTATTTGGGATTCATGAGATTTGAGATTTAAGTAGAGGATATTCTGTTGCATGTATTAACTAGTAAATTGTCTACATCCAACTACGATGTATTCTGTTTCCAGATTATCATCAACATGTGGCTTTGTAAGTTTTAATTTGTTTCATAAATGAAAAACACTCGAACGAGCCAAGAAATCAGGTTGTAAGCTAAATTTACGAATGAACACTCCTATATGGCTATAAACAGGGCTGAGAAGCTGCTATCTCAACAATCACAGTGTATCAGTCAGTCCAACATGCAATAGCCCAGCTGTTATCTAAACTACCCCCTGGAGGCAGACATATAACATCCTACTGGTCAAAGCCTTCTAGATACACATATATAACACGTGAACCTTGTGCTCACACAAAGTGTTTGGTTAATTTAACAGTTTTAATTAAAACTTTTAATTGTTTTCTATAACAAATTTTAATGTACCCTGTCAACATTTACAATGATAAAAATTTTTAAATTTTGCGAATTTGTTTGTGATCATTAACTTTTAGTTGAGCTAGAAGAGAGATTTTAAATTTTAAAAATTGATCAAATGAGTTATATAAACGTGTGTACGTGTAAACGTTACACGTTATATAAACGTGTAGTACAAATGTGTTATTGTATGTTATATTTGAAGAGTTAACTGGTGCTATTTATTTAGGTTTTATACAATATTTATGCTAATTTACGATACAACTTTTGTAATGTGAAATAATCATATAAATGTTTTGGTTGATATGATTTTAATGTTGTGTTAATATGCACAGGGAATAAAATTGTAATCATCATTAGAGATTAAACTTATTTCACCTTGGACAAAGGTTGAAGTAGATCGAGTGTTAGTGACAATGATGACCTTGGGTTATCGATCATACAGAAGGTGTTGGGACCTTCGCCTAACCTTCGTGTTGTTTTATCATCATCGATGATATCTTTCTCGCACAGGGCTGGCCAATTGTTAAAAGGAACATTCTTATTTATGTTTTACATAATAATGATATTAACTCAAATAATTTACACTTAGGTTGCATCATATGAGTTGATTAAATTAACAGCCAAAATAAATAAATAAACGAAATTAAATAAATGAACCATACGTTTTATACCGAGTCAAAATTATACTATCCATTCAAATAACGAGTTTTGTCGTACCATGAAGATGTTTTACTACTTTTTGATGACTACTGTTTGTGCTACTTTTAATCTGTTTCTGTCTGTTCTAATAACCACGGATAAATTAATTTTACTAGAATCCAATCAAAAATATGACTGAACATATAATTGCAATGTCCACTAAATTAGACATACAGTAGATATAGATATAGATATAGGGCTAAAGATTGTCCACGAGATAGCTATTACAATATCATTTTACTTCTAACCTTAGACTTCAAAGTTCAAGGCTTGAATT